GCATCAATGTTAAAAGTTGCTACTGTTTTACTACATTTGCTACGTGTTTCAGCTACTGAGTAAATCTTTTTTGCAATAACAATTAAATTTGCTACCGTTCTAACATATTTCGGCATGTCTAGTCACTTTTCTATTATTTTAAAATCAAGTTAATTAAAAATATGTCATGCCATTAATTTCTGCCCCCCCTTAAAATCAGTTGAACCTAAAACCTGCATTTTGTAATAATTTTTCTACCACCTTTAAAATTCAGTCTAAAAAGCTTTTCTGCACCGGTAACAATTTTCTGCTCCTAATTCACTAAATTATTATTTTGTTAACGCCCATTTGTATGTTCACACACTTAGCATGAATCCTTTCACATTACTTGTGTTTGTCAGCATGTATATTAAAAGTTAGAGGCCAATATGAGATTTTATGTGCTAAATGTTCGTCCAACATGTTTGACTTGGTGTCTATGTGGGCCTATTAGGAGTTTATTTCAGTCTAAAACCTTCCTAATAGTGGTCCAATGCCTCTTGGATCTTAAGCGGGGACGTTAGGCACCTTTTAGAGACAAAATGTATGCGATGGTGGGGTAGGGGTAGTTTAGGCCCTATGGATATGATGACATCGACTCAGGCTTAAAGCGACAAACCTTGGTTTTGTCAGTCCCTACACGGAAGCCTATCAAAAAATAAATAAAAAAAGTCGAGTGTTGATCCTAAAGTCCTTCAGAGTCTCCCTTTCCTTTGTCCCTTTATTTGTTTATTATTATATTTGTTTGGGGTAGCTTAAATAAAAATATAAAAATTGTTTATTCTATTTGATTGTGCAATTTATGTCTCCTCGCTCTTCTTTTATTAATTGTTTAAATATTTATTTTTCGTTTATTACATCACCTAGTCTCGCATACTTAATTAATAAAGTAGATAATTTAATTAATCCTAATTGTTTAATCATAGTTATCACCTAGTCATCATGCTAATTAAATAAAATAATAAATGAAGTGACCATAATTGCTACTTGTAACCCCATATAAATTGCATGAGAAACGGCCAGGACCCACATTTGTGGACCTAGAAGGATGCTTAACACCTTTCCCTCGAGGTAACTTGAACCCTTACCCTAATCTCTGGTTCATTGACCTTAGTTAGATTTAGCTAGATTAGATAGGTGCCCTAACGCGCCTTAATTCGTTAGGTGGCGACTCTTCAATCCTCCAAAATCCCAAAAGAGTTGTTAGGTCGTGCACCAAAACCCGTTTTGAGAAAAACGGGGCGCGACAATAAATAAATGATTCTACAACCCATATTTCATGATAGAATTCTCTACAATATACCATTCTCTATAGGGTTCGACCCCGACTCTTAGTTGGGTATTTTTATAGACGACGATCATTGTCTCTTTTAAATTGTTTCATAGAGTACTTTTGAGCATTATCAAGTAATTCACATTATCGAGGACATGAATTTTAGATAGAAAGGAGTAGAGGTCGCATAGTATGGTAGAAGGATAGTAGCGATAGCGTGTTGTCTTGCCTTACGAAGGTTTAGTGTCTTTCGTAGGCTTAGTCGTCCCTTATAGTTATTACCATATGCTATTTATTGTATTTAAATTATCACATTATTCTACCATTAATATTGACTCTCTCTTGTTGACTTTACACTTCTTCTCTTTTTAATCAGTATGATTTCTTCATTGGTTTCTTCTTCTTTTACTTTAGTTTGATATACTTGAGTCGAGGGTCTCTTGGAAACAACTTATCTACCTTCACAAGGTAGTGGTAAGGTCTATATACACTCTACCCTCCATAGATTCCGTTTTGTGGGATTTAACTAGGAATGTTGTTGTAACACCTCAAATTCAGAAAAGGGAAATATATTCGTTTTGCAACCACTCCGTGAAGTAGCTTGAGGACGCCAAATGACTCGGCGATCCCCTGAGTACCCCCCCCCCCTCACCTTTTTTGCTTTATCTCTGAGGCCAGTGTGTTGTAACTTTAGGCGAGCTGGATCGAGCTCCCCGTTCCATTTGGTGAATCGCCAAAGTGAATCCCCCATCGCCTAATTGACTAGGTCCTAGAGCTGGCTCCCTGTAATTTTTGGTGAGCTAAAGTCTCACTCGGTGAGTGCCGAGTGGCCCTTGGCGGCTTCAGCGGGTTTCAATCTCTATTTTTAAGTTAAGGACTTCTCGGCCTTTTTAAATTATTTTTATTCAATATCCTGTCGTTTTAACCTTCACCTAAAGACCTATATAAGAGTTTTACCCCTAATTTCCCAAAATTTTAAATGGATTCTCTCAAATTCCTAAAAAGAAGAACAAGTTCTTCCCCTCCAAATATTTCTCTCTCTATAACTTGAAGAAGAATATTGAAGCTAGGGCTCAAGGTCAACTCTCCATTCTCAAATATTTTGTGGGCTTTGATAGAAAGGTATGATGGCTTTATTCATCCATGGAATCCTTTCATCCATGGAGCCCCTAAGTTCCCCAATGGAGAAGTAGAAATTCCCCAATTTGAGTTAGGGTTTTCTTCTATGTTGTGGGTCTTTATGAATGTTGATCCAATTGATTAGGTAATGATTGTTTATTCATGAATTGGGAAGATTACATGTTATAGGATGAATTTACATGTACCCATGTTTAACCAATGTTTCTAAGCTGAAATTGATGTAAGTGGGTTTTGATCCATGAAAGGAGAATATATGGATTTAGGTGTATTCTTATAGGATAAATAAGGTACATTATGAATTGCTTTAAGATTGAAGCATATATGATGATTATGATATAAGTTACTTTGAGAGTGAAGCAGATGTTATGAATTGTTGATTATTGATGTAATTGTTGTGGAAAGGATAGTTTCCCACTTGATTTGCTTATGTATGAATGTGAAATGGTTTCTCACATTGAATAATTATAGGTTGAAAGGATTTCTCTTCTAAAATGAGTCTAAGCTAAAGATTAAGAAAATGATGAGGCTAGAGGTGATTACCCATGACCTCTAAATGCTAAGGACATGAGATGATTACCCATATTCCTTAGAATAGAATATGAGGCGGTTACCCATATTCCTTGAAGTTAAACAAGAGGTGACTACCAACGCTCCTATAATGATGTTGGACATGGAGGCGAGTACCCATGATCCTTATAGAAAGGCATGTAGGCGAGTACCCGTGTCACATGATGTTGGACATGGAGGCGAGTACCATGATCCCATAGTAGGTTGGACAAGAAGCGACTACCCATGATCCTTTATGTAAGGCAAGAGGTGAATTCCCATGAGCCTTCATAGGAAGGAAAGAGGCAATTCTCCATGTCTATAAAAGATAATCTAAGATATGTTATGATAGGTGATAAGCTTGTATTGTTGCTCGAGTTTACCTTCTATGATGAGTAAGGATGAATTGAGGTTACTTCAAGAAGTACTCCTTATATGCGAAATGATCTATTATGTGCATTGATTATGCTTTATGACTTATGTTTTCTATCTCTTAAATTTATGTTCATGTTTGTGCAAGTTTTCATATTTAGTACATTCTTCTACTAATGCATACTCTTGCCTACATTTATCATCCAAATGTAGGGTTTGGCGATCTCGACTCTCATCCCCGTGGCTAGGATCCTTAGTAGAGGCAAGAATTGAAGATTGGTGACTCATCATAGCATTCTAAGATTTGGCCACTAGTTCTTTATGTTCTTTTATTTTAGTTTGTGAACATTGTTGTGTGGGCTGTGTCCCAAGACTCTATTGGACTAGATGGTTTTGAGACAAGTGTATTAGACTTTCGCTTATTTTTATAAAGACTTTGGTACTGTTGAAATGTTTTAAATCTTATCGATTTTCTATTATCTTGACTATGAAAGCTAAGTGGCTTATATGAGCCTCTCGGGGTCTTGTATACCATGTTACGTCTAGGGTGTACCGCTGGATCGTGACAGTTGTTGTTGTATAAACCTTCAAGGTAAAATATCAGTTGTATATGTATGGTGCAATTATAATTGACTAAAGATCCACGTTCAATCATGAACGTTCAACTTAGATTTATTGAAACTAGTTAGTAATAACTTATTCAACATTCAAATCATATATCGATGCATTAATTATGCAAAGTTTTCTATCAATTATCATAATTTGTAACAGTTTATTATATATAAAGATTACATAGGATTGAATTATATTCAATGTTATACCCAACAACACTGAAGACACAAAAAATTTATTAATCTCAATATTAGAATTATATTTGACCCAAGTTTCCTCGCTCAAAGATAAATGACCTTAAATGTGTCATTTGGCAAAAGACAAAATTAAGAGTAAGAAAATAAAACTACTAGTTAAGATATTTATAAATCATTGATGATAGAATAAAACTATACCAACATATATATTTTAACAGATTATAAATTTTACTTATTTATCTTTCAAATCATCAATACTAATCCACAAGATCATAAACTGCTTTTAAGTGTGAAAAATCTTTCAAAACGGTTAATGCATGCATAAAATATCAATAATGATATTTATATAAATTAACTTTAATGTAAAATATTTGTTTAGTCGAATACTTTATAATAGTATAAATAATATTATACCTATGTAAGCGTAATCATGGGAGGTCTTGAGGTCCTACAATGTTTAAAGCTTTCATAATTTTCAAAACAACCAGAAGAAAAAATAAAAGAACCCAAAATATTTAGCATGAATATCGTTTGAATGGTGGAGGAAATATAATGATATGTACAATTTAATGTAAAAACTAAGTGAGATGACTTTTCTTAAAGAAAAAACTATTTGAGAACAACAGAAAATAATGAAACCGAAAAAGATTTATATCTAGTTATCTAGAGAAGCGCCATTTTCTATAATGTACATTGTTAAACATAGCAAACTATAAACATATAACTCTTCACGGCCACACTAAAAACAGAAACATAAACATGACTAGAAGACCACAAATGTCGACAAATAGAGTTGGTGGAAAGGGGAAAAATATAAATTCCTCTAGTCATTTTATTCCATATTAGGTGGAAGCAATAACTCCTTGGAGTTCTTCAAATCCCATAATATTAACTTCATTCATGTTCACCTCCTCTTTACCATTATCTCTATTATTTGTTGCCGCATCAACCATTTTGTTTTTGCTCCTGATTTCAAGCGTAGGCATAGTTGGGATTATTGGAAAAGCAACATCTCTTAAATGCTCAGCACGCTTGGAAGAGGATGATAATGCATTCAACATTGATGCTTTGGGCACGATATTTATGCCCTTTGGAAGATTGAATTTTGAACTAGTGTTGCAACCAACAAAATTTCTACGTTTCATGGGCAGATCATGGTTGTGTTCACTAGAATAGGACACCAAGAAAAGGTTCTCACCTTTTGGGCTTTTCTCAATAGTTTTTTTTGCTTCACAGTGTTTTGATGTACTACACTTATAGTAATTCCTGTTATGTCATATACAGATAACACTAATAAATTTTAAACAAATGTCATGTGTATCCACCATTAATAATTTTTACTACTTTTGGTGATGAAAATTGAAAATAGAAGGGAATAGATTATTCTATAACAAAAAAATTGGTGAAGAGAGCGAACCTCAAAAATGGAGAACCTTTGATACACTTCTGACCAGACTTGTTCCATCTCCATATATCATTTGTGAGTTCCTCTTGCAAGAATTCATAGATAATCATTTTCGACTGATTTTTCCTGATTTCAAATCAAAATTATTAAAATCAAATTCTGAACATACACATAAAATGTAACACGGTGAGCGGTTACCTTGTTGTAGTTTGGATCAAAGGATTCCTCATGGAAAAAGTGAAATTATGATAAATGTTAGACCTTATATCAAGTTGTTTTTGTTGATCAATCAATTCTTGAGGTGTTGTAGTTATTGGTGGCATACACACTATTGTTGTTGGTGATGGTGGAAAAGAGCTTTGCTGGATAAATTGAGCTGGCTGAATGGGATGTAAGTACAACTCTTGGTTACCATTTTGGTTCATAATTTTGACTTGATCATTTGGTTTTTCCTGGTGAGCAATTGGAAAATCTATAGAGAAAACTTCAGATAAGCCATTAAAATTAGTCATTTCAGAAGCTAAACATATGTCAATGTAATTCGAAACATCATTTGGAGAAGTCTCCATGCCTAAGTTAGGAGCTACAACATTGTAAGGTGTATTAATATTACAACTTTTTACCACCCCACTTGTATCTCAATCATCTTCTCCCATTTAAGATCTATATATAATGATATATAGTTAACCGCAAAAATTGGGGAAGGATCAAGAAAATATTAAAAATTCAGAAATGTACCTACAAGAAAAACTAATGATGTTTTCTGCGAGAGCGGAGAGGAAAAAAATCTAAAGAGGGGACTGACTTATGGAGGAAATAGATGAGTAAAAAAATGTTTTAGCTGGTAGGAAATTAGAAATCAAAGGCTGGGATGAAGAAAAGTGAACCATTTTTTCTTATTTTATAGAGAAACTTAAAGGGGTATCTACCTACCCCGGCTCATCCACATTCACTTCGCAGTTAATGTACAATAAATGTTTTTTTTCTAATTTAGAATGAGTGGTATTGTCGATAAAGGAGAATTCAAAGATAATCACTTGTTGTAATGACCCGATTCCTCAAGTCATGATGCACCTACTACACCTCACCAGTAGGTAAGCCTAACCCTTAGTCTGAAGTCATAAGCAACGGGCTATCAAGTAGAAGTCAACAATAGTAAGCATGAATCTTATAACGAAGCGAAGAAAGGGTAATAGATAGAAATGTAATACAACAAACCATCCCCAAGACCTTGCAACAGCTAGTAATAAGCATCTAATCAAACTAAGAGTACAACGCCTTTTACTAATACAAAAAAGTATAGGTTGTCTCTATATACAATATAAAGACTAAACCTAGCGAAAATAGATGGAAAATTGTAACTCAAAACACCACGAGCTCACCCAAGTTTCTGAACTCTAACTTGTTCTACATGACTCCAAATGAACGGCGAGAACTCAAAATATGATATGCAGGGAGTAAAAATGTAGTATGAGTACCAAAAACGATACTCAATAGGCTTGGGCCGAGTAAGCTCCAAAGACAAAGCAAGTATATACAACAAGTAATAATGAAATCAGAGCACAAATCACTAAATAGAAGATAAACAATAGACAAGCAATAAGGAACATAAGTAGGATACAAAAAATAAGGAACTCAATCAAAACATACTTGGAACAGAAACCAACAACCTACTCACAACAAACTATACAAGGTTAGGTGGACTAACAACCATAAGTGTAAAGCGACAACCAATCAGTTGTCACATCAACAACCACACAAAAGAGAATATAATCAAACAATAACGTAATTGAACCCCCATAAGCCCAGTAGGTATAAACAACAAAAAAACCCAAACGGCCCCCATAAAACGGGAGGGTGAAATCAACAAAAAAAATGTAGACTAATGATAGGAAATTCATAAGTATACAGAGTATGTAGTATGACAAACAATAACAATCATTAACCAAGTGTATAGACCTACCTCCACTGCCGTGCGGGCGAGGTTTGACCCATGCAACTCACTCATCCTGTATTATGGTACTCATGGTAAGAGAGGCCCATAAGGGACATGGAAAGTCCATATACACAACATGGTCTTGAATCTAGGTCTTTTCAAGGATGTAGAGCATCATGACTAGACCTGAAATCCACGACTAGTAGGAATAAACTTCGTTGTGGTACCGAAGGAATGAGTAACCAAAGCCATGCAGGAAAGGGCATCGACAGGCCGACTACTCAAGTAAAAGCTGAGAACATCTTAGATGTCTCTAATGTCTCAAGTATAAAAGGATCACATAAATAACAGATCATAAGTCTTAAAATCCAATAAATCAAGTGATATAGGTGGTACGACTCCCGTTAAAACCCATTTAGAATAGATACCAAGTGAATGTTTTCTTACCCCATGAATGATCATAATATAACGATCAATGAACTAGAACATACCACAAAAGACATGTAAATGAACAACTAATGCAATGCATCATCACCAAAATTCAAACAAGGCATTCACAATCAGAAAAATATAAATAGGATCAAACCATGCTACAAAGGTAAAGAGTACTAACTTGGGATCCAATAAGTCCTCGAATGTGTCCTCAGACCTAACAATACTTAAATTATCATAACAAGCCTACCACTAAACAACGGGCGATTAGATCAAGAAGAGCTCCCATATCAGAACAAGGGGAGAAAAACTCAAGAAATTATATATTACCCCAATCACACCACTCCAACCTACGACTGAGCACAACTAGTCCCAACATACATTTACGATGAGCCTACAAAGTCTCAAATACCTATCACATGGCCAACAACCCAAAGTCAAGCTCTACATGGTGTAACCTACCGCTACAAGGGCAAAAGTACGCACTAGGAATCTAAGGCTCAACCCTAGTCTAAGGTCACAATTACCAATTCTTACCAGGATACATATGCTATGACACACTACAAGCAAGGCTAAAGCTTAAACTAAAGATCTTGTCATCTACAATAATACCAACACTCCTACGAGAGTAAAGAAAGATAAAGTAAATAGGGAAAAGCTAATACCTGACAAATACAATCCTAAATCTCATGCAATTTAGACTAAGCATTATCTAAAAATCCCAATCAAGAAAGTAAATTGAATCCTACCTCAAATTTGATCACGCGCGCTTCGAATACATTGCACACGAGCTATTTGCTTCAAAAATGCATTTGAAAACTGCCACACTATAAATTTGTTGATCATAACGTCATTACAGATGTTTAGAGAACAAATCCACAATAGTTGGAAAATACCCAAAATGTAGTCAAAAAGGAAATATGGGACCCATACCAAGAATCTCAAAATTGATTTCATCAAAAGAACCCAATGGATATCGGGCTTTTGTCCTAAAATTGGGAACAATTTGATGCCCGAAGCAGCCCAAATAAAGACATGCACAAATTCTTCAAATTAAAGAGACAAGGTAGCCCATTCCGGGTGAAAATTACCTCAATACTCCTACTTCTACACTTTCTGATCAGTCCCACACGTAGTCACACCAACTCTAGATAAAAGATAACTTGAATCCCTTAAAAAAGAGCTACCTAGCTCAAGATATCGAAATTTTAATATTTGGAAAAATGGATAGACAAACAATATAAACCATTATCGATGACCCCAAAAGTGATCAGTCGGCTGCAAAAGCGATTAGTCAGCCGCATAAGCGGCCAAGCCCAGAAATCTCCTACCGAGAAAGCAACCACTGTGAAAGTCGCTACCATGAAACTGATCAATCGGCTGTGAAAGTGGCAAAACCCCAAGAGGCTCCCACCGCGAAAGTGATGCCTAAGCCGATAAAGAGGCTATACAAAGCGATCCAAGGGCCACTAAAGTAGTCGCACTAACATTGTTGCACAATAATTTGAAGGAAAATGCTCCAAACTTCAAATGGACACCCGAAATTCCTTCGAAACCCCGTGAACACAAACAAACTATGATACTAATCAAAATTAGCATTTCAGACTCAACGAAACCATCAAAACTTCCATCTGAGGTCGTCATGACAAAAAATAGGTCGCACACCCAAGTTCCTTTTCAAGCCAATATCCACAAGAGGAGTTGAAATAAGTTCAGAAGCTTAGTGAACCACACAAAAAGGTCATTCTTGATCAAACTCAACATTTAAGAGCTAACTGTGCTAATAGATTTCACATCCAAGCATGTTTACCAAGAATGTTGATCAAAGTCAAACTTTGGTTAAATCTTCAAAGTTTAGATGCCAAACGACATAAACTCACTCCGGAAGTCTCGGTACCTAAACCAACCATGCCCCAAGCTTAAAATGGCCCTTCTGAAGCTGATGGAATCATAAGAATTACATTTTGAGGCCGTCTTCCTGAAATTCTGACAGAAATCTACTGTTTAAGTTTCAAAGGTTCCAAAATTTGGAAACTCGAACAAAACTCAAATGAGTGACCCGATGACCAAATTTTAAGTCCCACAAAGTCGTAAATGACTTGGGGTCACTAAAGGAAAACTCTTACTGATGAAAATATCAAAAATTGGAGGTAATGACTTGGAGGGTCATTATAATATCCACTACTAATAGGAATTTCGTTCATATAAGTAGAAGGACAATTATAGCTTAAAGGTACAAAAAGATGAGGATATTAGGCTTGGATGCTCAGCCAAACCCTGAGACACCCTCCCAGATCTAAAAACACTAACACAGAACTTAGGCTAAGAGGGAAAATCCTTGAGTTCACGTCAAAACACTAGAAACTCCTCAAATTCCTTTTTGGACTCCAACTCTCTCCCAAAAGAATTGAACTTGCCTTAAAGCACAAGATTTAGCTGAGAAAACCAATACCACACCAAAACTACCAAATTGAGAAAACACATGACAATGGCAGAAGCAACCCAACTCATAAATCGAAACACTCACCTTATGCTCCAAATTTAACATTTTCTATCAATCAAGAACATTTTGTCAGTCCTTATCTCTCTTGAACATCTCCAGCACAATTTGAAAACATTCTACAAACCCACATAACAAAAACCTCACGGGAACTACATGATTTGCCTGAACATCATGGAATAACAACTGTCAAAATAAGGAACTTAGCCCAAAGAAAAGCCAAAAATCCATTCCTTACTCTAAAAAATGAACAATCTCAATTAGAACACAACCTTCTGAAGCCAAGAACTTTCCTCCAAAGGAGCTTCTAGAAATCCGGCACAATAATCCCATAAGTTACTCTTCCCCCGCAAATTCAGAACCAACTAACCCAGTCTAAGGGAAACAGAGTCGGTTGGCGGTGTATCAACATAGTCAACTAGTTGGTGGTGGCCCAAGGGTACAAACTCCTATCACGAACCACACAAGCCACCAAGCATGATAAAGGAAAACCTCTCATCCTGAACAAGAATAAAATCATACATTCCACGAATTAATTTTACCCCATCATAAATGTGAACCTTCTTAGAAATTTCCATTTTCCCATAGAAGTTATAGTCTAAAGTCATCGAAGAACTACACCACGCCGACTCTAAATCACCAACAAACTTTAATAGCTACCAGCACAACCATAATAACAACAAAAATAACAACAAAGTAAC